AAATCAAGGTTGCATTTGGGCAACTATTGAAAAACACCTTTAGGAACCAAAAACACTCCTAAATTTGCATTTTTCAACAACGTGACCTTTCTTGTAACAATAGAGACAAGACAAATTATGAAGAGTTTTAATTTTGCTATTTGGATCCTTTTTTTTTTACCAAAGCTATACCTCTTATGAGGTTTATTCAAAGAATTTTTAAGCTTTGATGGATCAATAGTAAATATAACATTTGGTTTGTAATGCCTTGTCCAATTTAGCTTTAAGAGTTTTAGACTCTTTTTGTCAAGTGTAACAAGTTTCACAAACCGAACCTTGAAGGTTCATTATCCTCTTCTTTAACTTTTAGATTACCTGCCATAGATTTCTTTAGAGCTTCCATTTTATTTTCGCTTTCTAAAACTTTAGCTTCTAAATTTGAAAAAATCCTTTTTGTGAAGCTAACTTTTTAAAAGCATCTATTACATCTCTATGTAGATTTTCAAAAGATTATTGTAACTTAGAATAAGACAACCTATCAACATGCTCATATTTATAATGACTTACATTTTTTTTTCTTCTTATGACATTGATGGTCCGAGAGACACACATTTGTCTCTACTTCATTATCACTTGAGCTTTTATCACTTGAGGAATCATTATCAATTTCCAAGAAAACATAAGCTCTTCTAGACTTTCTAAACTTCTTGTGTTGGCCCTTTTCTTTATCTTTGTCAAGAGATGGACACTCCAGCCTATACTGACCCGATTTCCCATAATTGTAGCATATACCTCTCGATTTTCCTTTCTTGTTATCATCTTCTCTTGAGTATGTAGATTGTCTTCTAAACTTGATGAGGTTTTTATCAGAGTACTTTACCTCCATTCTTTCTAATGTACATATTGTACCTCTTTGCAAACAACCACATCTCTTCATCATCAGAATTTTCGTCATCACTAATATCACTATCACTTTGCTTATTTGTCGAGGACCTCAAACTAGAAGCCTTTAGAGAAATATACTTATTTTCTACCTCCTTATACATGCCTTTATCCTTCTTTAGCTTCTTGTCATGTTTCTTATCATGTTTTTCCAAGCAATTGAGTTTTTACTCATGTTCTTCAAGCTTACCAAACAATGTAGTGAGGTCTAGTGTTGTAAGATCATTAGCTTCCTTGATCGCGGTGACCTTTGGTTGTCATTCCTAGTAAGACACCTCAAAATATATCAGGGGTCCTTTAAGTTATTATATTATAACAAGGTGGTCCTTTAAGTATTGTTTGCTACAAGTGAGTCCTTTAAGTTAACTAACGTGTGCATCATTGACCCTTTTTTACCTTTTTTTTTCAATCTTAGATAAAACCATTCATCCAAAATACATAAAGTTGCAACAAAGTGCATATATTAGCATTATAAATACATAAAGTAACATCCAAAAAATATAAAGTCAGATCCTAATTCAACCAAAAACAAAATTTAAAAGATCAAGTTGTTAAAACAAACTTAAAGGATCAATATGTGACAATAAAGTAACTTAAAGGAACTCTGAAGTAATTATGCCAAAACTTTATTAGTAGAAATTTCATTGGAGATTTCCCAAGTGCATTTAAACGATTAAAGAGATCCTCAAGGTTAAAAATCACCTTTTAAAATTATGTTTTGAAAAACAATGAAAAACTATGGAAAGCAAATATGCATAAACCAAATAATGAAAACTAAAATGATGATAAGACTCAATACAATAATCTCTCAATCAATCATTTTATAATGATCACAATTGTTAACCAATTTCCAATGAAATTATTGATAAAATTATCGAACACTTGACATACAGTCAATTTTTTCAGATTTTTCCTTTGACTTTATTGATATGAAATACCATTTACAATCTAATTTATTATAATATAATCAACAAAGAAATGTTTAATCAAAGGTATGTCTATACGAATCGATTACACAATAAATGAATTTAACAATTTGCTACACAAAGTAAATGAGTGAGAGAGAGAGAGAGAGAGAGAGAGAATACAAAGATTTGTTTAGGCAGCTCAGCAATCGTCCTTACTATGGCTACATCTGCCTCCAATTCCTTTTGGAATTGAGATAAGAATTCTTACTATGCAAAAAATCATTTAGAAGAGAAATGTAGCAATCCAATCATACAAATTCTATGTTTGATGTTGTTCCTAACAATTTCTCTTCCCTTGATCTGAGTTTGATCAAGTGACTCAACAATACCAATTTGATCCATCGTCTCGCGCTACTCCTTAGCAAGAAATCACTGTTCTTCAAAGCTTTCACTCGGCCGAATCCAAATTGCAAATTATTGTCACCCAAGATATCCAAATGATTCACCGTCTCACACTACTCCTTTGCAAGAACTTCCTGTTCTTCAAAGCTCTTCACTCATTTGAATCCAACATATATGAAATCTTGTCAAAACTCTCAAATCAACACTTTGATCTTGGTGGAAAACCCTCAGTTTTTCCCGATGAAACCCCCAAAAATTCTCAATCCAATATTAGGTTACACCAACCTAAATTGAATGTTATCAATACAAGTCTAGATAACACCCAAACAAAGAATGATTATGTGTAATTTGTTTATGTGTATGCATAGATGAGAGGTTAAAGATGATGAGCAAATTTTGTATGTGTTTATAGTTTCATCAAGTTTGAAATGATGCATGTATGAAGTATTTATATGTGTGCAAGTTGGTGGCAAAAAGAAGACTTAGAAATTAAAAAGAAATGCAATTTTTCAGAAAAATGACAGTATGTGTCGATGTAATGACTTGCGTCTACCTGTTCAAGGTCATGTGTCGATAAACAGAAACAGAGAATTTCAAGCTTTAAAAATGAAGTACATGTGTAGACCTGAAACGCGTATGTGTTGACACATAAATATGATTTTTCAACATGTGTCGACCTGAAGGGTTGTATGTGTCGACACATAGTTACAGAGGCTACATACTTTATTATTGATCCACATGTGTCGACTCATACATCGTATGTGTTGACACATATCCCTGTTTTTCATATAAAAACTCATTTTTAATGCATGATACCTTTTCAAAACATGTTCTAAATGCATTCTAAGATTCCTAATGCAAAGGTGCACACATAGACTCAGAGATACCGTTCAATATACAGAAATGCTAGTTATCATAGTCTTGACATTATGCAACACATCTAACGGGCAAGTGCACTCACAAAATTCATTCAAAAATATTTTCTATCTTTTTTAATGCTCTCATTTTTTTCTATGCAATTTTTATATACTTCTCTAGGCCTTTTGTTTTCAAAAATATTTTATAAAGAGTTTTTAAGTGTGTGTGTGTGCGCGCACGCGCGCACACTTCTAGCCATATACCTCTATAAAGAAAGAATTTTTGTTTTTAATTAAAATAGTTTTACCTTCTTCAAGAAATAATTCTTGACAAATATTTTCCATGTGGGATGAACACCTTAAGGTGTATCATTCTCATCACATTGTTGGATGTGAGAGTTGGTAAGCAAACAAATAAGTCTATCACATGCTTATTTATTTTATTGATCATTATAGATCATTAAATTGAGAAACTTTTAACTAGTGTTGTTTTGATCGTAATGATTGACATTTGTCATCATCGTTCATCCTCAAGATCAAAGACTTAAAAACATGTATACTTCTAAAGTATACTTCTGCTTTTTACAACTTTTTTAAATATTCTCTTTTAGTCCTTCAAACTACAAAACATGACTTGCAAAATAAATATGTATGTTAATGTATCAATTATCCTCTTTGTATGATGCTTTTGAACGTGTGTCATCTTTTTTGTTAGAAGATGCTTCTAACTAGAATTATTATTATGGAAGTAAGATGAACCATACTTATTTCTCATTTAATTTTCATGATTTTTTTTTATAGAAGTGAGAAGGAGAAACATTTTTACTTTCATTATTTTCTCTAATAAGACAAAACAAAACAACATGACTATTTTTATTGTAATAATGACGGACTTTCGTCATTATTATGAAGGACTTTCGTCGAGTACCAAATGAATGATCAAAGTTGAGATTAAAGAAACCTAAAAATTTCTCTTAGATGGAAGCCTTGGAGTCATTAGGAGAAGCTAAAAACTTTCTTACAAAACTATTTTGAATTTAAAAGTTTTTATAAAATCATATTTTTTTGGATCAACGACAGTATCTTACAATTTTTCAAATAAGCTATTTCAAAAATCAAACAAAGACTATTTACAAATGGAAGATCGATGTTACCAACTCTCCTTTCCTTCAACATAATAAACAATCAATATTTAAAGTCAAAATTGCTTATCTATCCATATTGGTGAACTTATTAATTTTCCTAACAAAGTAAATTTGCATTCTAATCTCCCATGTTCTTGTTTATAAGTTTCCTCTACTTTCCACATCTTAGCCTTTCACCAGACCCTACACTTCACCCTCGAAAGTGACCTATCTCCGGTTGGTGAAGCATCGAATCATTTCAAATCTTTCGGAAAGATCAAACACATTTCTGGCCATGTCCCAAAAATATCAATCTATAAAATTGAAAATTTGGAAAGAGATATATAAAAAACATGGGTAGATAATTTGCAAAAAATTTCTGACCATGTCCCAAAAATATCAATCAATATATACATAAATTTCTACATGAAGCCGGCTCAAAAAATCAAGGACCACATGGCATCAATCATAGCTTAAATAGGAAATTAATATTTAGATACTAATGAGGTATATTGTCCATTATATTATATTATCGTTATACTGTTTTAAGGCCAAAAAAATCAATCTTTCATTAACATAAGTTGAGATTTATTTAATCTAAATATATCTCATGATTCATGTGGCCCTTCTAATGACATCAAAGATAAGATGATTTTTATTTTTGCAGTTACATGACTCCACCAAAGGGTGAAGACATGAGATTCTACAAAATTAGTAAATTTTTATCATAATGTAATGCTACTAGATTTTCCATCAATCAATCATCTTAAAGAGTTAGTTAGAATCCTATGGATGATGATATTCCAAAGGGGTTATGTGGTTGGAGTTGGAAAGAGAACAAATTGTTTGAGCTAGCTTTAGCTTTAGTTGATGAGAGGCATCCAGAAAGGTGGGAGATGGTTGCAGCAATGGTTGGAGGAGAAAAGAGTGCAGGTGAAGTTGAAGAACATTATGTGATATTGTTGGAGGATTTGGAGCTTATAGAATCTGGAAAATTTGATCATAAGTTGTGTGAAGATTCATGTGTTCTTGTTGACCTTGCTGAATCCTTATGCTTGTATGATAATATTGATTAATACAATACAACCATGTAAGTCTCTTCTTTTTCTGTGTATTCTCTCAGTCTCATTCATGAATTTGGCTGAATTAAGAGGCCATACAGCATATCATTACTCACATATATAGCTAGCTGATGCTATGTTCTGGATTCATTTGTGCTCTTAATCATGGTTTTAAGTCGCGTGATGCGCACTTTTGATTTATAAAAATATTTGAAGAAACTGTGTTATTTTAAATCACACAATAATTACAGTTAGACGCAGTTGCAGAGATTATTGCATCTGCAATATGGCAATTTAAAACCATGCTCTTAATTCAGTAATTTTATCATATAAAAGTATATTAAAACTTTATTCAGTTATTTTATCAGAACTTCTGTGTTTTATATTCCAACACAGTATGATAAATTGAGATAAGCATACATATAGATATAGTACAAAAGTTACAGAATAAGCTTCTACTATAAAAATCTAGAGACATTTGAAACTAGAATGAATGAAATGATAATTGACTTATGTGTTGCATCGGGTTCAGCCCAATAAGTTCTACTAACCATACTTTTGCTCAGTTTTAAATTTTCCTTTACAACCGTAATTACATCCGCAATATAAAACTTTTAGAATTATGCATCGACATCACAATTGCAATTGCTGCCGCATTTGACTGCAATATAAAGGTCTGAAATCACAATTTAGAATCATTTGCCCCAAGATTATATGGAATTTATAGCTTGTTTAAGGAATTAAAAACCGGAATAAATCATATCAGTATTCCATCATAAAAAAAATAGTAAAAAAGAAAAGGGACTACGGAAAAATGACAACAGAGCCAGGGAAGAGGCAGTGCATGAGTGGAGCCACAACAATTTTCTCATCTGTTGATAGCTTCATCCATGCTCAGCCTGTTCCCTGCCTCTAACAATTAATCCAAGCCCCCAACCTTCTCTACATCTAAATTACATTACCTTACCTCTTCCTCAAGCAGCTTCTCTTGTAAGAATTTCTAATTCAATGAGATTGCGTTTTCGTTGAAATTTTGGTTTGTTAAATTATGCATAAAATGGATTCCCTTTGATTTTATATATGTAATAGCATGAGGGGGGAATGTTTGTACTTTGCAAGTTTGCAGTACATGCATGTAGTAGTACTAGGAAATTTGAGGTGTACTACTTCTATTATTATGGTACTACTGCCGTTGGTTATTTCCAAGACTGGATTCTATGAGACCTCAAGTGTACTACTATTTTAAAGCTAGTACTACATCAGCCATAATTCCTTTCTTTAAATTAACCCAAGCTTCCTATTTTATTAATTCAATTTTAATCCATATATTTATTTATTTTGAGTTTTTTTCATGAATATTCCACTTTCAACCCACCCGTCAATTTTATTTACGAGTCTTCACACCCTCTTTTTTTCTCATTTTTTTATTTTACATATTATTAATATTTATTAAATATTTTTAATATTTAAAATAATAATTACTAAATAATTATTAAAATTATTAAACATATAATTTAAATAAATAAAATATAATATAATTTAATTACTTAATTTGTAAACTGGTAGGGACTATCGATTACTTGTAGGGACTATCGATTCCACATCGAGGCTTTGTCTCTCACCCCTACAAGGCCCCCCTTGGTCGTTTGCATTTTTGTGGTGGCGGGAAAGGACTCCTCATTCATTTGATGCATTTATTATTTCATTTACTTCTAGTGACACTTCTAGAACCTGGTAAACTCTTTGCTCTCAAAATCAAATGAGTTGCTCAACATAAATGGGTATTGGAATTGTGTTGTTTGCGGGTTATATGTATCAATTGAGGGGTGGTAAAAGTTTGTTTGTTGAGGTGATTTTCTTTTATTTTATAGTTGAAGTTAGTTGGTGAAGTTGGAATGAATGATTGTGTTGGAACCAATGGACATTGTTGTTGTGGTGATAGTTCTAGTTGGTTTGAGGTGTTGGTTGCATGTGTGATTATGGATTAGATGGATTGGTTGGTGTATGGTGTTTCTTAGAGGACCTTCTACGGAGGCTTTTTTTAAGATTTTTCAGTGTGGTCTTCGTAACTTTTATATTTTAAGTCGTTGGAGTTGACTAGACTAGTCAACCGTAACACTGCATTGCAACGACACTTTCTATTAAAAAATTAATATAATTAAATATGTTATGTGTTTCAACGTTTTTTTTATATTTTATTTTCTTTTAACACTATTAATTTATTATAAATACATCCTATTTGAAATATTTAGTGGTCTTCATCCGAATTTTATAACAAGACTACAAAGAAGAGTAAATATTCGTGAAAAACAAGTTTATTGTCAACTTCGAGGAGATCTAGTCGAGTATATTTGGCTTTGCTCTTTGAAGAATCACCAAGCACCTTGACTTGTGTTCTTTTGTGATCATAAATATTTTTGTTTTGATTTCTTCTTTCAATTAATAAAATGCAATGTTGGTTTGTCTTACTTGTTAATAATGTAGGTAAAGGCAATGTGGCTTAGCAAGTTGATCCATGGGTTCATGAGTTTATTTCCATGCCCTAGTCAATAAAGCTTGAGAAGTTCAAACCTCACCATTGAATTTGTTTTGGAACAAATGGCATGGCAAGGTTATTTTGATTCACCACATTTCAAGGTTATCAAACTGGATTGAAAAGCACAAGGGAATAATTTGAGAAGTTGTCATGCTTGGACAAGGCTTTGTTCCCATTGGTCACAAATGCATATTTATCTCAATTCTCAAGATATGGAAGTGGTTGTGATTGCTATGAGTTCTCATTATCATCCTCAACAACTTATATTTATAAAACATTTGTTTTGGTACAAGAAGTTTGTTCAAATTTGTCAAAGTTCCTCAAGGCATGTTTCTTAATCTAGGAGCTAGGGTTTTGGACTTCAAAGGAGTATATCTTGCTCATCTTTTGGTATTTTTGAGTGATTCCAAAGACATCCTTCTCTTCAAAGGGTTACTAACAAATAAATTCAAAAGTCCCAAGGAGTTTTCATGTGGAAGAAACTTGATGAGGGAGAAAGATTACAAGTCCTCCAGATGAATCCCCAATTTTTCATGTGTGACTTCAAATGATCATAACTTGGTCAATTTTTATCATCTTGAGCCCATTCATTTTCCATAATGATCTTGAAGATGTGAACTTTATGCCTTCTTTTATGTGCAAAGTGAGAAAATGGATGGAAGTTGCCTTAAGGATACAAAAGATTATAGGTCATTTTATGAAATTTTGCCAACTTCAACAAGTCATAACTTTCTCAATTTTTGGAGATTTTGAATGGTTCAAGTTTCAAAATGTCATTCAAGATATCTACTTCATGCCATCTTTTTTGGTCAAGAGCAAATTCCAAGTGTAAGACTATGTTTGGATGCAAGACATTATAGGTCATTTTTTTAGGAAAATTTGAAATATTTCTAAGTATGGAAAGTCAATCCTTTTTCTCCAACTTTGACTCAACACAACTTTCATCTCAAGCATCCATTTTATTCCATTCTTTTTCCATTGTAAAGCTTGTAACCTCATCTTTCTAAAGCATCAAGAATCATGCTCTAAGACCCCCTTGAGCTGAGAATGCCATTGGTCAGAAGTTGGCACTTTGGAACTGAATTTCTCACCAAGTCAGAGTTTTGAAATCCATAATATGGCCTCTAATCACAAGATTTATACGCGTTTTTGATTTAAACTTGATTAACAAACTTTCCAGAAGTGTTTAGCACCTCAAAACGCAAGATTTGGATGAGTTTTGGTGAAAATAAGATCACACTTCACTCGTGCATCAGGTTTGCACGAATTCCCTCCAAAATGCATCATTCACTCTTTCTTTTGATCCCATTTGCTTCTCCTATAAATACATGAACTATCCCATTCATTTTCTCAAGCTTGGATAGCCAAAATCACCCTGCCAAACTTGTTCTATAACTCAGAATTCAGCAACTTCGAAATCCATACACAAGCCTTTTTCAATCCATTTTTTTTTATAAATTCACCTTTCTTGATCTTCCCTGAAGCTAACGATATAATTACATTCAAGAATCGTGCCCTATATTGCTCCATAGAAGTCCAGTTTCAGAGCTCTGCAACTCAACTTTAATAGGTAGATTCCTTCATCAATTCTTCAAAACTTTGATATCATTGTGATGCTCTCATTGCCCTGGTTTTAGTCGCAACACTTATCTTTTACTGGAAACACGTTTTGACCATGAAATTTCAAATCCCTTTTCAAAACTTTCTTTCCAAATTGCTTGAGCTACAGTTTATATAAATTTGATGCGAGAGTGTGGTTGTCTTCATCTTGAAGAGACGAAGCGAATGACATAAGTCTGAGCTTCTGATTTTACAGTTTGAGAGACCTGCAATTCACGTTGGCTGGAGGTTGAAGATGACCAACGTGTCATCTTCCAACCAATGATGGCACGCCACTTGTTATTTTTGAATTCTGATTTAATAATTGATTCAGTGCTTTATTCACTAATGATCATGATATGCACAGTGCACCAGATCCTTTAGATCTGATTACTAACACGATTTGACTCTCATCCAATGGTCCACATATTTTTGACTTTTATTTTCTTTTCTGATTTTTATATTTAATTGTTTTAAACTTCAAAAAATCATAGAAAATCTATTTTTAGTCCAAAAAATATGAAAAATATTTTTGATTATTCTCTTTCTGATTTTTATTTTTTCACAATTTAATTTTGTGTTTTGGTATTTTTATAAATTTACACTTTATTTGAATTGTTTTAAATGTTTAAAAATACTTTTATGCATTTTTAAATTCTGAAAAAATTATGGAATGATCCAATGATATTGTGACAAATATTGGTGACCTTATTTTATTTTTGTTTCTGACTTTGTTATTTTTTATCGTTTTTGGTTTATTTTACCCCTTTCTTTTAATTTTAAAAATAGTTTCTGACTTTAAAAAATTACCAAAAAATTTATAAAATCATTTGAGCCCTTCTTTGATTTTTCTATGGTCCTACTTTTTATTTCTTGATTA